TCCTCACACCCATCTTTGATAAAAAACTCCCTTTGCTCACAAATAACACGTCTTAGTTTTTCCAACCGTTCTACATTACCATCAGCCAATCCCACGCAAGCATAAATTTCAGACCACATTAGATTAGTAAGCACCCTAACATTGTCCACTTTAGCCGATTGGTCAACAACCGTATCATCAATATCAAATATTGGCTTCAAACTAGCACCTTTTGTCCACCGAGACACCAAATACATAGAAGGAATTCTCTCAAGTCCATGATCTTTAAACACAAAAAAAATATGCCTACACACCAACCCCATCCGCTCAAACATCTTGCATGAACATATAGCACTACAGTCAGCCAACAAAAACTCCACAGACCATGCCTTCTTGTCACCATCTTTTATCCCATAGCACACCTTACCCTCGCACTCACACAAAAACACCACTCGACAAGAAAAACAACCTTCACAAATCTCTACTTGCACATCATAAAATACAGAAATGGTATAGACATCCATTGCATGTTTCTCCAGCGCCAATGGAGTCTTCAAAACAGGAAAGCATGATTCAGAGTCAGCAGTCAATTTTGCTTGGGCATGTCGTTGTGCACTAATAGCACTATCAAAATGCACCAAAAACTCAACCAAACTGGAATGACCTTTGGAGAAACTGCCAAAAAAACTATTTTGAGACTCTGATCGAGATGTTGTCCTAACAAATCCCGACATAAACTCATCATGAAAGTATGGAGATGCCCAAAATGTACGAGACTCAAACAAGTAACGAAACCAACCATTATCACCCAAACCATATTCCTCTATAATACGACTCCATAAATCCTCAAAAGTTTTGGAATCTATAGATTTGTTCCAAACAATGCCATTCAACTTCCTCCTAAACACCTCGTCCTTAGCTAAAACCGGTCCAACCTTCTCGCCAACCTTGCACATTATATGCCACATGCAGAATCTATGTTTTGATGTACCAAACACACGAGCAACTGCAATCTTGACAGCTGGATCTTGGTCAGTAACGACACAAATAGGTTCATGACGCATGGTTTTCTTAAATCTCTCCAAAAGCCAAACATATGAGTTTACGTCTTCCCTCGTAAGTAAACCAGCACCAAATGTGATGGATCTCTTATGGTTATCAATTCCAGTAAATGGGACAAAAACCAAATTATACCTACATAATGCACAACCCAATAACTACTGAATATACTAAATATAACAAAACACACTATTTGAAATCAAAATATGAACCAATATATTATACATAATACACAATAACTATAAATTACTAACCTGCTAGATCGGTATGTAGCATCGAATAAAACAACATCACCAAACAATGCAAAGTTCTTCCTTGATACTGCATCTGCCCAAAAAATCCTTGTAAGCTGATCAACATCATCAACGTCATATTCAAACTCGAAAGCCTCACACAATTCACGCCTTTTAAAAAGCGTATCTATGAATAGTTGAGCATCACCATTCAATATGTATGCCATCAAATCACGCTTGAAATTCTTAAAATCCACCCCAGTAGCCCCAACATTGGAATACTCACCAACAATCTCCTTAAACAACTTATACGACCGAACATACCCAATATTTGCCCGAACACAACTTGCAATGAACATTTGATGGTCAGTATCAAGACTACGATTCACCTTTAAAAACTGCTTAGCAATAATTTAACACATCACATGAGTGTGTCGTTCCTCCAAAAAATGCACAACAAACAGTCCATTAGACTTACGCTTAAACACCACTCTAGCCTTGCAGCCAACCCTATTTGTCACCCTCCGTCTCTTCACAACAATAGGCTTACCATCACCAACACACGTAGATTGAGTACTATAAATACTCTGTTTAAACCCCTCTCGGCTACAAAATACCTGTCTCTCCACAACAACACCATCCCTCCTCCTCCGAATTGTACCCTTTCTACAATCAAAACCAACATACCCAGCATACTGTTTATAAAAAACAATAGCACAATCCAATGAATCAAACGTTTGCCCCACCATAGGCTTCAAACTATCAGTGCAAACTGGACGCCAATACTTAGTCAACCCAGGAGACGTTTCCAAAACACATGCATTGTCTTCCGCCTCAACATCAGTCAAACAGTGTTCACTGGCACCCTGACCACTAGTCTCTACAGCAACATCAGTTGAATTCCCTTCATCACACTGACTCCCACTTCCTTCTACGCAACCATCAATATGACCACCATCAGTGGAATGCTCTGTATTGCATACACCACCACTGCCTTCTACACCGGCATCAATTGACGTATCTTTATCACAAACGAAGCCCACCGGGTCCATAATAATAGCTGCACACCATGTATATATAATAACACACTAAAATAACCAATGCATGACATTTGGTAACTACAAAACACATAAAATACTATACTACTTAATATGCACCACAATCATGCAACTTTCACACTATATTAACACAATAACACACAACATCGTAACAACAACAGTGACTTATCTCACCACCAGAAAAATATCAAACCAGATAAAAAAACGCTATACTACATTAATATGCACCACGATGATTCAAATTTCGCACTGTATTCACGCATTAACGCACAACGTCGTACAGCAACATCGACTTATCTCACCCCCAAGAACAATATCAATCCATATAAAACCGATATAACACATCCATGACATAACAAACGCATATTATTATGATCAAAATAAAACTACAAACGTCAATACATCAATACATACCATTCTCCATCGCACAAATTGCCCGGTATACTCAGATTGCCCTACCAACTGATCTCCGGTGACCTTCTCCGATTTGCGAACCGATCGCGATCTTGAACTTCCCGAAATTGCGATGTGATCGCTATCTTGATCTTCTCTTCACCAAGTTGCCGATTCTCTCCGAGTTTACATATATAGAACAGAATAGAATAGAAATTACCTTATATACATTCCCGTAACCATGTAAATGAAATTACATAACTACCCCCACTTACCAAAACGCGAACAACTCTTCCTTATTTTTGAAAATACGCCTCTGCCATTAGATTGCCTTGATCCAATAGTTCAAATATAACCACACTGCCACACCTAACTACACTGCCACATTTGAGCATTATTCTATATATATATATATATATATATATATATATATATATATATATATATACTAGTAATTATTATGCGCGATGCGCAAAACATAGGTGCCTAATATTAAAATTTTAAATTTATTTAGATTTTAGATGTTTAAATTATTGTAAATAATAATAATAATAATAATAATAATAATAATAATAATAATAATAATAATAATAATAATAATAATAATAATAATGTAACACATTTTTATAACTCTGATATTTATATTTAATTTTAAGAAATAACTAACATATAACTCCAATATATAATGTGTATATTATTATTATTATTATTATTATTATTATTATTATTATTATTATTATTATTATTATTATTATTATTATTATTATTGAAGAAGAAGAAGAAGATAAGAAAATATATGGTAAGTGCATGTGCATAGTAACAATAGTGGAAAAGATAACGGAAATTATAACGGTAGGTGTATATTTGTCCAAAATATTGTATAGTACAACTTTTATAGCATAATGTATCAAAAAACTTAATGGAAAAAATTGACATAAATGAAGGGTATAACATTCATTCACACTTATTATGTTTTTAGATATATATATATATATATATATATATATATATATTTATTTATTTATTTATTTATTTATTTATAAGTATTTTAGGCCAAAAAATTCTAGGCAATTCTAACGACTGAGGTGGGTGATTTCACCTTTTGCCACAAACTATCTTGTCATGTGGGGGTGTTTGGGGTGGGCGATTTCACCTTTTGCCACAAGAATAATTAAGAATGGATTTCTCATGTTAATCTTGAGATTGAAAACCGATTCCCTTATCATAATCAGGAATTGAAAAAAGAAAATACAGGAGTTAGGAGATCATGTCTCCCTGACTAACCAACTGTCCGGCTATTTTAGCTACTTCTTAGGATTGTTATTTTTTATTACGGTAAAAAAATAAATACTCCCTAATTATATATATATTCATCACTGACTGGTATCTGCCTGGTCGTTGTTTTCCTTCTCAACTTCTTCAATCGTATGTGCGAATATGGCGTTCCTGAATCATTCTACCCTCTCCTCCAACCATACAATATAATGCAATGATCCTAATAACACCACTTCTTTCTTCCTTCTTCTTTTCGCATTATACTTTCCCATTCAGAGATCATCGTCTTCTGCCGCTATAACAACAATATTAACCCACCCATCCACAAGGCCAGGTAATGCAACTAACTCATCTCCCAGATTTCAATCTCCGGCCGGCCATAAATACATTATTTGGATTTTTGCATTCTTAAGACCCATAAATGCATATATGGCGTTTTTGTTTATTTTACTTTGCATATCGTTTGTAAATGGTTCGTACGTGTTCTTTTGTCCTCTGCAAAGTTCTATAGCTTTTCAGGTTGTCACTTTCCATCATGTTTGCATATTGGTTGAAAGATTGATGTATTTGTGTATATATGTATGCATATATGTAGTTGATGGTGTACGTTTCAAGAAAGAAGCCTTGGCTTTTTGTGCTTTATCTAAAGTTTTAAGTTTCCATGGTGACAGATTGTTTGTCGTCCCAATATTTGGTTAGAATGTACATGTTATGCTTGTGGTTTAGTTATTTAACATCTATCTATATATGGAAACTTTGAATTAATGAAATAATGTACATTCTAGTTGTTCTAGTTGTGTGATTTATTTTTTTATTTTTTGTGTTGTTTAATTAGCTGCTTAATTATGATCACATCCATGCAGTATGTGCACATGTCATCATGACAGAATATTATGCATTGCAGCATGGATTGCATTGAAGACATATATAAGCAGCAAGGAGATTTGGTGCAAATAGATTCAGAAAAGTGATGAAATTCTATATTACAGGCAAAAGTGTTGAAAGGCTTGCATGGTAAAATTGTCATTAGAAAAAATTAAAAATGGCTACAGGGAAATACTCTAGGCTTGATGACAAGAAATCATCATGGTCTGGTTATTGCTCAACGGCGACTATAGTGGTTTTCGTAGCCCTGTGCTTAGTTGGGGTGTGGATGATGACATCATCATCTGTTGTTCCGGTACAAAATACGGAAGTCGTGGGTTCTCAATCTCAGGAGAGCATGAGTGAATTGAAGACACAAATGGGTGAGAGCAGTAGTAGTAGTAATGATGGCGAGACGAGGATGAGTTCAGGCGATGAGCCAAAGTCAGCATTCGAGAGTAGCAGTAGCAATAGCAGTAGAAGTGAGAGCAACAATAATAATAATAATAATAATAATAATAATAATAATGCTACTGACTTGGAGAATAGTTCAGGTGACGATGAGGCCAAGTTAAAACCATTCGAAAGCAGTAGTAGTAGTAGCAGCAGCAGCTTTGAGAGCAACAATAATAATTTTAATGCTAGTGACGAGAATAGTAGTTGGGGTGATGATCCAAAGCCAAAGCCAAATCCATTCAAGAATGCTACTAGTTCAGGTGATATAGATGAGGCCAAGTCAAAACCATTGGAGAGCAATAATAATTTTAATGCTTCTAGTGATGAGAATAGTAGCTCATTCAAGGCTAGTCCTGGTAACTTACCTGTTGATGCAACTATAAATGACACTGATGAAAAAAATACAATAACTAGTATCGAAGATGCAAAAAGCAGGCAAGAGGTGATTGAAGAGAAACCCCCCAAGGAAGAGAAAAAAGATAATGTGGAAATTGTAGAAGCACCCAAGGGATCAGAGGATAAAGATGGTTCAGAAACAGGAGAGAAAAATATTGAAAACAAGTCTGGAGAAGAAAAAGTAGTCTCGGATGTGAATAATATTGATGCTGAAAAGAAAGAAATGAAAGATGGTGAAATAGAAGAAGAGAAGGGGGTAGTGGAGGATAAAAAGGAGCAGGTGGAAGGTGGTTCTGGTGAGACTAACACTTCTCCGGTTCAATCTCCACTCCCATCATCACAAGTAGCAAAAATATATGAAGGTTCTGGTGAAAAGGTAGTGTCTCTGGATGAAGCTTTCGGTGATGAGAAAAATGGTGAGACCCATCATCAAGATAACAGTAGTTCTCCGGTTCAATCTCCACTCCCATCAGATGTACCAAAAACAAATGAAGAAGGTGAGAATAAAGAGGGTTTGAGTGAAGTGTTTCCTTCAGTGGCTCAGTCTGAGCTTTTGAACGAAACAAACACACAAAATGGGGTATTTCCAACCCAGGCAATGCAGTCAAAGAAGGAAAAGTCTTTAAAATTAGATAAAGCCGCAGGAAATGGGTACAGCTGGAAAGTGTGCAATGTGAGTGCTGGGTGTGATTACATCCCTTGCCTTGATAATCTGGAAGCCATTAAGAATCTCAGAACTACAATGCATTATCAACACAGGGAGAGACACTGTCCCAATGATCCGCCCACTTGCCTTGTTCCACTTCCCACAGGATATCAACGCTCAATTAAGTGGCCTAAAAGTAGGGAAAAGGTATATATGTAATTTGCCAATTAATTATTTGAAGCTAATTAAGTAAGTAGTACAGTGTTTCAATTCCTTCCTGCATATATATATACGCAGATTTGGTACCGTAATGTTCCACACACCAAGCTTGCAGATTTTAAGGGACATCAAAATTGGGTGAAGGCTAATGGTGAATACCTTACCTTCCCTGGTGGGGGAACCCAGTTTATGCATGGTGCTCTTCATTATATTGATATTATACAGAAGGTTAGCACCAACTAATTAACCATTTATTTAATTATATAATTAATTAATTAGCTGGCTTACTTACTTGGATATATATATATATATATATAGTCTGTGGGTGAGATTGCATGGGGAAAACGAACACGTGTTGTATTAGATGTTGGGTGTGGGGTTGCGAGCTTTGGAGGCTATCTTTTCGATAGAGATGTGTTGACTATGTCATTTGCTCCCAAAGATGAGCACGAAGCTCAGGTTCAGTTTGCACTGGAAAGGGGTATTCCTGCTTTATCTGCTGTCATGGGTACAAAGAGACTCCCCTTCCCTGGTAGAGTCTTTGATGCTGTCCATTGTGCACGCTGCAGGGTGCCCTGGCATATTGAAGGTACGTACCTTATACTATTTAATTCATTAATTCATTTTCTACGGAGTATTCAATTCTCAGAGGTGACATCGAATCTCATCTGTATGCGCAGCTTCAATCTGATTTGCACTACAGATCAGAGTGAAAGCTACTGACTCTATTACATTGTAGTATTTGTTCATACATACTATGTATATATGTAGGTGGGAAACTTCTGTTGGAGCTGAATCGTATGCTCCGTCCTGGTGGTTACTTTGTGTGGTCTGCCACACCAGTGTACCGCAAAAATCCGGTGGATTCTGGGATCTGGAAAGGTATGGTATATATACTTATTGCATGCATGTAACCATAATATATATATATATATATATATATATATATATATATATATATATTATTCTTCTCCAAATGATAAATAAATATGATAATTGTGGTAAAGCTAAAGCTACTTAGTTTAATTTGATTGGGCGGGTGGCAGAGATGACGAATCTGACCAAGTCAATGTGCTGGGATTTAGCTTCAGTTACTAGGGACAGACTTAATAAAGTAGGTATTGCCATATATAGAAAGCCTTCTTCCAATGCGTGCTATGAACAAAGACCACAAGATGACCCTCCACTCTGCCACCAAACCGATGATCCCGATGCAACCTGGTATGCTATATATATATATATATATATATATATATATATATATATATATATATATTATAATCTCCATCATATCATATCATATCGATGTGGTCTTGTATATATAGTATGATTTGATTTGTTTAATTAGGAATGTGGATTTACAATCTTGCATGCACAAAGTGCCTACCGACCCAACAGAACGGGGGTCTAAGTGGCCAGAAATGTGGCCTGCTAGGTTGGAAAAACCTCCTTATTGGTTACTGAGTTCCCAGACAGGTGTGTATGGGAAACCAGCCCCAGAGGATTTCGCTGTTGATTATCAACACTGGAAACGAGTGGTCACCAAGACTTACCTCAATGGATTGGGAATCGACTGGTCTACTGTTCGGAATGTCATGGATATGCGTGCCATCTATGGAGGGTATATAATTGTGTTCTTTAATTATATATATATATATATATATATATATATATATATATATATATATATACTTAGCTGCTAGCTAATTACTGAATTATATATTACAGATTTGCAGCAGCTCTTAAGGAGTTGAACGTATGGGTTATGAACGTTATTTCAATAGATGCTCCTGACACGCTACCCCTAGTGTACGAGAGAGGTCTGTTTGGAATGTATCACGACTGGTGTGAATCATTCAGCACATACCCCAGATCTTATGATCTTCTCCATGCTGATCACCTCTTCTCCAAGATTAAAAACAAGTGTGGCTTATCAGCATTGGTTGCAGAGGCTGATAGGATCTTGAGACCCGAAGGAAAGCTCATAGTTCGCGACACTTTGATCGTTATAGCTGAACTGCAATCGATGTTGAGGTCTATGCACTACGAGATTCGAACGACATATTCAAGGGACAAGGAAGGACTGCTCTGTGTGAAGAAGACAATGTGGCGCCCCAAGGAAGTGCAAACACTCACTTATGCATCAATTCAGTAAGCTAACTTACGTTAGCATGCAGCCACCCTAGCTGCCTTCCTGCATGCCTCTTCTTTAATTTAATTTCTTACCATGCATCACACTACATACAACTACCTTAGCTACATACTCTTTTCTGTCATCATCATGTATGTAGTGTTACCAATCAATTTCTGGCCTGCAGATAATTAACTGTATGTGTATTATTCTTCAACTTACTACATTTAATTTGGTTTATTAATTAGCTAGGTTACTTGAATTGAATAGTGTTGACAACATTATTGTACCTCTAGTTGTACGTCTAGGGTAGATAGACCAACACAATTCAAAGCTGTATGTAAAACAATAAGATTCATTTTGAACTAACATATACATACACACACACACACACACACATATATATATATATATATATATATATATATATATATATATATATATATATATATATATAGTCACACTGATGATGATGATATTCCTTTTCTAGCTTCCATTCTGTATTTATGTTTGTGGTCTTTTCTTTTACCAGAAATAGCCTACTCTCAAACATAAATTTAGGATTCTGTCATTCATTTGTTCGTTATATTATAGCATATATACATTACTCCCATTACATAAAGGGAGTTGTTGGTTTTACGGCTTTGGATGCCGGTCGGCGGGTCAACACTACCGTAAAATACTATTTTTCATCATAAACGGGAGTTTATGATGAAAAAGGAAAAAGAGTAGAGCAATGGGGAGAATAATACGATATTATTTCTCTAGGGATTTGGCCGCTTAAGTGCCAAGAGAAGCCAAAAATGATCGATCCCTTTACACGGTGACCCCAGGGGGATATTTATACAAGAATATGAACCCGTGCAAGGAAAGTAGGGTTGGCGCAGAGCCAAAATATACAAGGAAAGTAGGGTTGACGCGTAGGGCCGAATCAACTAGGGAAGCTGGCCCTTATTGCGCCCTAGTTACCTAAATTAATAAAGGAAGCTACTTGCACTAAATGCGGAAAGTAAATTTCCGTGGGATATGTCTGTAACCCGCCTCTAGGGAGTACTCGATCGGGGAGTATCCTGGATGCTGAGGAGATGCCCCCGGGGGGGGCGCGGTGCTCGGGTGAAGATGTCCCGACCGCGTAGCATAGTCGCCTGACTGACCTCCTGAATGGTTACCAGCCTGGGACGCGCTGCCTGCGGAGCCTGGTCGCTCGCCTGGATTCTGTAGGGCGTTCGGTCGGGGACAAACCGGTCGGGGCCCGGCTAATTGGGAACCCGGTCAGTATCTTATCGCCTTTCTGACTGATCACGCGCCTTACCGACTGGTTCTGCAAAGCGGTACGGTCGCTGGAGTGCAATTATGACGATCCCTCGAGTTCCGCCGATTAGGGTTCCAAGACGCGTCTTCTCATAACCGTCCCGTCAGACGTTACGTCACTCTTCCCCTCCGTTAGATCGAGGATACGTGTCACGATCTCGCTGGTCGTCCAAGCCTATAAATACCTCGACTCTCCTTCTCTTTTCCCTCTTTACATTTTTCGAACTTCCGCACTTCCAGCACTCTTCCTACCCCCAAACTTAAGCCTTTCTTCCTTTTCCGGCGGCCGGCGTGCTTGCCCTTCAAGATAACTCTACTCATCTCCAGTCGTTGTTCCCTTCTTAGGTCAATTTCTTCTCCGATATGTCACTTATTTTCGCATCTTTCTTCCTTCTCCCCTCATTCTTTTATGTCATCCTCATCTTCATCTTCGTCTTCGTCTTCCTCCGCCTCCTCTTCTTCTGCTTCCTCTATCGCGGACGACCATCAGGGTCGCGTCGCGAGCCCTCCGGCCATGGTTTCGGCGACGGCCGCGGCGGGGGACCTACGGGCAGCGGCCCTTGTCGACCCCCAGAGGACTAGGAGTCGGGGTTTCTGGACGCCCTCGACTTGCCAGTAGGCCGCCGCTCCTCACCTCGTGAGGTCGATTTTCTTCATGCTCGGCGATTGCTGGGCACGCCTGCTGTTTGCCGCCGGGCAGGTGACCGACTGGTGACAGATCCTCCTAGTGGGGGATACGTGGGGATCCATTACCAGTCTGTCCGTTATGGCTTCCGAGTTCCTCTTTCTCCTTTCCATTCTCTCCTGTTCCATTACTATGGTGTGCTGCCCGGTCAGTTGGCGCCAAATTCTTACTACCAGCTGACTGCCTTCCTCACATACTGCCACCGCCTCGGCGTGGATGCCACTCTTCCTCTCTTCCACCAGTTTTTCCGCCTCACCGCAATTGGTGCGGTTGCTTCAGGATATGTGCAAATACGTTCCCGGGACAGCCGCAAGTTCTTGGACAAGTTGGTCTCCTCCCACAAAGGTTGGAAGGAGGAGTTCTTCTTCGTCCGTCGGCCGATCATCTCCCGACTTTCGATTTTCCTCTAACCTGGCTGGTGTCATACTACCGCTTGGACGGCAGACAGGCTTGCCCCGAGCACTTGGCTGAACTGGCCAACGGATCACCGGGGGCGAGCTGATCTCTGCCTGACGCTGGTCGCGGTTGGTAGCCATGATGGAGGCTGGCCTGCTGTCGGATGGGGCTCCCCCGACAGGTTCGTTCCTTACTTGGTGGTGACTTAACACTTCTGTGTCCGTAAGCTAACCCTCTCAGCTCTTTCTTTCGCAGGTAATAACGACACATATGACTCGTCCGAGGAGTCTGAAGGAGAGGAGGAGCCACCTAACGCGGCACCCGCTCTTCCCGAAGCACCACGAGAAATCGCTTAGGGGGAGGACATGTCTGATCGTCGCTCCATTCTGCGCACCACCGCACGGGCCTGTCTGTCCGCCGCCAAGAAGGCGCGCACCACCGCACGGGCCTGTCTGTCCGCCGCCAAGAAGGCAAGGGCGCGTCCACCTCGGCAGACCCCACCTCACTACAAGCTGCACGCAGCCCCGGGGCCCTAGTCATTGGGGGTTCTTCCACCACTGTAGCCCGGTCCGCCATAGATACTAGGCGGAGGAGGTCTGCCACTCCTGTTCCAGGCGCTTCATCTTCTCCTCGTCGGGCTGGCACCAAACAGCCCAGCGAGACACATGTGGAGGCCCCGGCCACCAAAAGGATACTGGTTGGCCCGGAGGCCAATGAGACGAATGGCATCCACTGTGGCCGCAACCCGATCGACGAGTGGCTTGGCAAGGTGATCTTCTCCAAGGACCTCGAGTCCATGGAAGGGGGAGATCCCGACTTGCTGCTGGACGGGGTCGCTCATCGCAGTTACTAGGTAAAAATTTTCCATACGCTTAACTCATAATTGCCTTCTTTTCCTCCTTAGCTTCTTTTGACTTTCTGCCTTGTTTTGCTCGTAGGCCCTGATGTGCCAGCTCGCTCTTCACCGTCGGCTGATGGTTATGATGATCGAGCTCAAGGATTTGCACGCGATCCGGGTCAACCATGCCGCTCAGGTAGATGACTTGAACCTGAAGCTCGGTCAGGCTGCCTCTACTCTGGAAGCCGAGCAGAAAAAGGGCTAGCGGTTGACGGCCAAGTTGTAGCAAGCCCGGGAAGCTGCCATGGCGGCCTTCAAGCAATCCCCCGAGTACCAGAGGGGGTGGAGCATGCAAGGGCCAACACTGAAAGCATTGCCCTGGAGTAGCTGGTTTCTGCGGCCGGTCAAGCTTACTTGGCCGATGCGGGGACGGAGGACTACCAGACCAGGATGGCGGACAACCAAAAGGAGATCTACGGTGTCCTGGGCGGGAGGTACGCCAACTTCAGCCCGCATCGTTATGGACTCCCAACTGCTTTATATGAGAAGACTGCGAACCCTGTTACCCCCGCGCATGAACTGGGGGCGGCCGTCATGGACCATCAGGCGGCCAAACTGGCTTAGCCGATGACCCCAATGCTCTGGCAGGGAATCGAGGTCCGATGCTGCTGGATCTGGACGAAGAGGAGGACGAGGCGGAACTGGCTGCGCAATTGCAGCGTCGTCGTCAAGCACACATCGTGGCTACACTTGAGAACGCCCCCACTGGACCATCGGAGGGGGGGGGGGGGAGACTTAGAGTAGCTATTTTTGTTCGTCCCCCCCCCCCCTTTGCAAGATGTAATCCGACTGCCCTTCGGTTTTTTTTGAAATGAATCGCAGCCCGTCGGGCTTTTTCTGCTTTCGCTTCCACCTTTGTTAAGTAATTCTTGTGCGCCTCATCTGACCGCCTCCGATTTTCCAATGAGCAAAGCTGACTGCCAAGTCCGTCAGTGCGCGAGGCTGACTGCTTGCCCCCGAGAGACGAGCAAACCTCAAGACAGTCGAGTCCCTCAGTGGGCAAGGCTGACTGCCTCTGAGCCCCCGAGAGACATACAAACTTCAAAATGGCCAAATCCCTTAGTGGGCGAGGCTGACTGCCTGCGAGCCCCCGAGAGACGAGCAAACTTCCAAGCAGCCGAGTCCCTCAACGGCCGAGGCTGACTGCCTACGAGCCCCCGAGAGACAAACAAGCTTCGAAACAGCCGAGTCCCTCAGTGGTCATCATACTTTCCATGAACCATTCTCATCTCATGCCATCAATCTCATCATATTATCACGGTGGGGAGGTAGAAACTTCACCATATGTGAATGGACCTATCCGGGCTCAGAAATTCTCAACTGGCGTAATCAACGTCTCACCCACAAATCTCATAAGTAACATAGAAACGAGACTGCTATCTTAAGTGTGCACACCCCCTAACTGGGATTCCAAGCCCAACGAGTAATAGCTCAAGCCCTAAGTGAACCTAGGATTTTTCTACCAGGCCCCTTTCTAATCACATAACTTCCAGGAATTCTCCACCGACTTTCATTTCGTCATTTTCATTTCATCAATCTTTTCAAGTAACCGAAACTCAAGTACCACCTCTAAGGTAAAAAGATTTTCCTCACAAGATATGCACAACATATCACATAAATGGCATACTATGCCTAAATGTAGTTTGAGAAAATAGGGGGATACGGGATAAAAAATGGAATATAAAGTGTAGTCAAAACGCATGAATAAATACAATGGTTCATACTTAATGGTTCAAAGTAACTTCAACTGACAAGGTTAATAACTACTCCATACTTAATCTTCACTTAATGCAACTCGAATCACAACCAACAACTCATTGGAACATGCTAATCAATGCACTTCTCTTGTGAATCAAACTCAACACTTATATCAATTTCAAGGTTGGTTCAAACATCAAATAAATCGATACATCACTCGTTTGTTGGTAAAATCATTTTTGGAAAAGTAGCACGTAACACATAGCACTTTAGAACAACTCCCTGAGTCTCATGGATCACGAAAACCCGGAAACCCAAGTGACCGGACCCGCGGCAGTGTGCACTGCCACAGGGGCACCTTGACCGCGCAGGCTAGGCGGCGGGTCTTGCGAGACCTGCCGCGCCACCCGCACGGCCATTGTGCGAGAGAGGCAAGCCGCGAGGGGCCTGCCTCCTCGCCTGCCACCGGACACGCGGGCCTGCCGGCGAGTCTCCCTAGACCCGTGGTAGGGCCCGTGCGCCTTCGAGGAGGGGGTGAGGCAGTAGCCTCATCCCCTTTGTTCCTTTCCCTTAAGCATTTTTCCCACTTCCCAAATCTGATGCATCCACCCAAAACATCAACACAAGGCCAAATATCATTTTAACAACATTTTCAAACACATCTTATGCATCCAACCCTAGATAAACAACATATTCCAAGCTCACATATCATCAACAATCCCACAAACACATTTAATAGGCAAAACTAGCAAAAACAAATACATTTGGATGTTCATGGGTTATACCTCAAGCTAGATGTCTTCCAAGACATGGATCCCTTCCTCAAAGCCCTATGCCTTCCAAGAAGGAAACTTATTAAGACCGAGTCATCTGATGCAAGTGATACTGATAATGATGGAGATGAAGAGAGGCCAGTGCAAACTGAAGGAGAAAAAATGCAATTGAAGAAATCTGGAGGAGATACTGACAAGCATATTCTTGAAGAAATCTACAAACAGATGAGAAGTTTAAGTGATCACCAGAAAAGCTTAAACACGGTGATACAAGAGGATAAGGAGAAGAAAGAAAAGGATTAGGATGAGAAAATTGCTGCATTGAACAAGAAAAATGAACTTGAGAGACTCAAGTCCAACAACTTCACAATGGATCAGTGCAAAAGTTTGCTGAAGGTAATTCACCAACAAGAACATAAAATATCTGATTTACAAAATGAATTATCTTCTTTTAGAAGTGAAAACACTGCCAAAGTTGACACAATTAATGCTAATGTTGAGATGTTAGTTGATTATGCCAAAACGGGGGAAGAGAGCAGTCATTTGGCTCTTGACTTCCGGCAATCCCGAGATGGGTGAGCAACTGGGAAGTAAGCATAGTGCAGCGCTAAGATCCAACAATTGGTATCAGAGCCAAGGTCACGGGTTCGAATCGAAGGCGAGGCAAAAGCCGAGTCCAGTCCCAGATGGGACGTGGGCGTAGGTCAGGCTAAGTCCAATCCTAGGAGGGGGGATGATGGGCGCGTAGGCTAACCGAGTCAGGCTTTGTGATCAAAGGTTGCGGCAGGTGCTAGAAGGGGGATTGTTGGGCGTCGGCCGGGTTGGCCGAGTTCAGCCCCTGCTTGATTCGAGACGTGGCGCTGTGGCTTACTATGGAGAGATGTGGTTAAATGGTTAATGTCCACCTACTTATCACCAATTGGTTTTAAGTAGGATATGGCAACCAGGTACCATAGAACTCTGTTGTTAAGCATGCTTGATTTCCGACAATCCCGGGATGGGTGACCCACTAGGAAGATTTGCGGCAATCCCGGGATGGGTGACCCACTAGGAAGCATAGTGCAACGCTGAGATCCAACAAGATCAAAGGTTGTGGATTATACAAAAGAACAAGGAGTTGCAGGAAAAAGGAAAAGAGAAAAATTCAGCAGATTCACATGCTCACATGTTAAAAGAACTAGAAAAACATCAAGTGGTTTCTAGCAGGAGCACTACCAGGAGATAACATTATGCAAGCCCTTAAGCCCTTGGCTACTACAACACAGGTCAAGTGTCTGATGAATATGTGAACGATTTCAGGAAGCTCATAGAACATATCAACAACAAGCTCAGATCAAGAAATTAATATCTTTATGGTAATATGTCTTATTTTCCTACTATCGGATGGTTATGTAATAATTAGCTATACTGCTTAATATGTTCTTTTGCTCAGTTTTTGCTTTATCATCTTATGAAATGTTTTTAGACCTAACTTGTATTAAAACGCATGCCTGAGATATTTTTGCTTGGAATTGATGATTATTATTATTAGTCTCAAACATGCAGTTAGGAATCTTGTCTAAAAACAATTCTTCTAGGTCATATATTTTGTTAAACTCGTTCATGGCTAGTCAAAATAAAATTAAATTCCAAAGATTCAAAATAATTTTCAAGACTAAGCCAAATGACTGAGTATAGGTTTTGGCATCATCAAAAATGGGGAAATTGTTAGGAATAAATTGTAATTAGATTTTGATGAGCCAAATTGTATCTTTAGGATTAAAATTTTAGACCCCATTTTCTGTTTGAATTTTGTGTAATTTTATTTTGAGGAAGAACAAGAAATATTAAGTCCACGAAATTCATGAAGAAGAAAATCAAGGAAGAAGAAGAAGAGCTACGTGTAGATTATTATTTATCAGCCATAATTCAATTGGTCAGTCACATTATCTATTTTGAAGAAGAGGAGTTACGGTTGGAATTAATTCAAGGAAATCAGCCTTCACGGAAATCAGCCACGGTGATTATTTAAGGAATCAACTAAGAAATTGGAATGGCTTACATAATTAAATTGAGCTACGGTCTCAATTTAATTAAAGAAGAGCCACGGTCTTATTATGAGCTACGGTCCCAAATTAATTCATGGAGATGAGCTATGATCTTTATTTGTTAAAGAATGAGTCACGCTTTAAATTTATTAAAAGGAAGGAGCCACAGTTGATCTTGAAGAAGAACCAGGGATCAAAACTCATCAGAGACATTTAAAGGAATGAGCTACACTTTCTATTTATCAATGGGATGAGCTACGATCAGATTTTAAGAAGAGCAAAATTAAAAGCCCTCACCAAAGACATTTAATCCAAGATGAGCTAAGGAATTAATTCATGAGCTAAGGATTATTTATTGAGACTAGCCAAGGTCTTAATTAAATTAAAAGTTCAAGTCATGCCATCAGCCAAAGAAGATCAAGAAAAATCTCTGACAAGTTTTAATTATAAAGTATGGAGATCTATTACAAAGTATGGGGATTACTTGCAAGATCAGGAAAATCTCACAAAGTCAAAAATCATCTTGATATCTGATAAAAGTTGAAATTATTTTTCAACATCTCTACGCGGCAAAATCTCAGTACAAGATTTCAAAATTTGAATTGCCTATCTGCAACGAGCAACTTCAAAATCTCTCAACTATAAATATTGGCATTCTTGAAGACTTAGAGACCACACAGAATACACAACAAGAAGAGAGCATTTTCATAAGCAGATAGCTTCATTCCATATATTCATATTTTGAGCTACTCACGTAGAACTCTTCAAGTCCAGAAGAGAAAATTTGTTTTCTTTATACCACACTACTCTACTGTGTGTAGAAAGAGGGAGAGTAGCAAGGGGTGTGAAAACCCTGTTGAGTGTAGCTTTGTGCGAGACACTCGTGGTTTCTAAGTGCAGCTTTGTGCAAGACACTTAGTTGGTGTAGGAGTATAGCTTTGTGCAATATACTCGGGTTTGAGTGTAGGTATGTGTAAGACACTCGGGGAAGTGCTTGGGTAGCACTTAATTCACTATTTATATGTGGGTGAACGAGATAGTGAATTTCCTCCTTAGAGTGAAAGGAGAAGAGTGGACTAGGAGGATTACACCACCTCCGAACCACTATAAATTCCCTCGTGCATTTTACTTACTGCTCTCATTTATTTACTGCTCTTAATCATTATTGCTTTACATTGTTGTGTACTAACCCATCTTATATTTGCTATTCATAATCTGGGTTCATACGTATGCATGCAAATTAATTTACACCATTGTCTTTCATATTCAATAAAAAATATACTGTACACCATTTGCATTCCATCTTCACACGTGAACATGCATGCATGAAATCATATTTAACTTTGCCTAAAATAATTGACTAACCCATCTCTTTTAAACATTATTTAAATTAAGTTGGGTAGTTCTTTCATACATATATATTCATACACGCAAAGCATTCAATTTAATTTGAATCATTTTGTGTACTGACCCATTTCATACACAGATGAATTCATCTGAGTTTAGTGTTTTCCACGTCCGCATGCAAGCTAAATTTTGAATACATATTATTTAATCTATTTCTAGCATATCCATCATATTGCATGTGATTATCTCTCTGTTTTTATGTAACACTTTATTGTTGAATTATTCCGTTGTGCATCCAAGTTGAATATCTTGTTATTTACTTGTTACTTGGAGTTGAAATTACCAAAGTGTTATTTATTGTGAAAAAGTTTAAAAAGTCTATTCCCCCCCCCCCCTCTAGACTTTTTACCACCCTATCGGGACCAACAATTGGTATTAGAGCCATTGTCTATTTGAGTCAATCTTGACTGCTAAACAGATCTCAAAAATCAAAATGATAAAAAGAGATATGGCTCTTGCCCAAAATTTGTTATTTTCTTTAGAAAAATTTGATGATTGGAAAATTTGCATGCAGGTACATATATCCGCACTATATGATGAGATGTGGGAAGTAATCACTAATGGTCCTATTGAAATCTTGCAAGTGAACACTACTTCCGTACAAACTAGTGGTACTCCACAGTACGTTCCAAAGCATAAGGTGGAATGGACTCGGGAAGATAGAACACGAAATAACTTGGACAACATTGCCAAGGATATTTTGTTCAAAGCTATCGATGATACGATATTCCCAAAAGTTTGAAAATGCAAATCAGCAAAAGAAGTTTGGGAAACACTCATACAAATTGGTGAAGGAGACGAACAAGAAAAGGATAATAAGCTCACCATAGCATTAAAGAAATTTGATGATTTCAAAATGCTAAGTTGCGAGAATATTACCGACATGGAAGCAAGATTTACCAAAATCTTGGGAGAAATTAATGATCTTGGAAAAGACATTAATCAAAAAGAAATTTCACTTAAAATCCTACGTGGTCTACCATTAAGTTGGGATATGAAAGTCACAGCCATCCGTGACCATAGAGATCTAAAAACTTTATCAACTGATAAACTATTTAGTTATCTAAAGGCCTATGAGTTTGAGATGAAGTCAAGGATGGAGGAAGAATGCGAAGAAAAGAACAATGCACTTATCGTCGAGCAACCATCTTCCTTAAGGTCAGTAGAAAATAGTGATTTATTTTCTGACGAAAAATTTGTCTTGTTTGTTAGGAAATTTAAGAAATTTATGAGAAAAAACAACCACAAAAGTTTCCCTAAGGCAAGCACATCTCGAAGGCATAGAAAAAACAACCACAAAAGTTTCCCTACAACTGTAGAAAGCTTGGATATTTCATGGTCGAATGTCCGTACCCCAAGGTAAGCAAAAATCAATCTGACACTTTGCAGGAGGAAACCAAAGTCAAAGATAGGAGACTCAAAAAAAGACAAAAGGAAAGCTCTAATCAGTGATCCTTTGGAGATAAGTGAGACTGAGGAATCCTCTAGCGATGAAAGTGACACCTCTAAGGACAATAATGCACTATTTTGCATAAGTGTTTCTAGTGAATTATCCCACCAAGACATGTGTCTTATGGAACATGAAACAGACGATGAGGAGGTAACTTCAAAATCCTTTGACTCTGTAAATTCATCATTTTCTAAAGAGTCTATCTTTCATTTAATGAAAGATTGTCAAACCATGATGGACACTCACTATCAACTCAAAGAGCGCAATAATCTCTTAATTCTCGAAAAAGATGAAATGAATGACAAATTGCAAAATGCTATATGTGAAGTGAAAGACTTGAAGGCTGAAATTATTCGTCTTTAAGAAGAGTGTAAATCAAGGGAAGTTCGTGAACACAACCTAAGAGAGGTTATAGCCACATTTACTCATTCATCCAAAATAATGGATAAAATGGTAAATATGCAAAAAAAAAAAAAAAAAAAAAAAAACCCAAATGATAAAGCCGGACTTGGCTACGATTAGTCGTGTTCACAAACCTCCGATAAATTGACTAATTCTACTACTACGTTAACAAATAAAGTCCATGTAGTCAAATTTGTAAAAAGTCAAGACAGCACAATGAAACAAGGAATTGGTTACCAAACTGATGCAAAAAATAGTACTGAAAATCCGAAGCCTCATAAACGAAATATTTGGCCAAAGCAGTTATATAATAGGCAAAAGTTTGTTTCTCACAGGAGATATACCAATGAGTTAAGTGCACAAAGTCCTCATAGAAAAATGGGAAGATTTCCAAGGATTGGGGCGGGGAGACTTTATCCCTCTGAGCAAGATTGGTTTGATGAAATTAAACCATGGACTAAATCTAGGTTTAATGCCTTTCTTAGGCTCAAACAATCTTCTTCCCAAGTTCCAAAGAATCGAGTTAATTTTCAAAAATTGGCACCAAAAATGTTTTCAAAAATTAGCTATGATTAAAAAGTGTTTAGTGGTTACAAATCACCTAACCTTGGATCAGTAAGCACTAGGTGGATTTGAGTACCAAAAATGACTAACAACCAAGGACCCAAATCATGTTGGGTACCTAAAAATGTGTAATATATTTACAGGAAATCTGGTACTTCGATAGTGGATGTTCTTGTCACATGACTGGAAATAAATCTAGTCTTGTGAATTTTAAAAATTTCGAAGGACTAAAAGTTGTATTTGGTGGAAATGATCGATATCGCACAACCAAAGGTGTTAGTACGGTATCTCGCAATGGTCTAAAAATAGATGATGTATCCTTTGTTGAAGGTTTAAAATTTAATTTGCTAAGCACTAGTCAATTTTGCGACAAAGGTTATCTTGTAGAATTTTTTAAGAACATATGTCAAGTAAAAAATGAATCCACCAGCGAGATTGTGCTCTGAAAGAAGAACATGTACATTGTAAACTGGAACTCAACCAAAGACTCTGTGTGTCTTGTAGCAAACAGCTCAAGCAATGTAAGTTGGGAATGGCACAAGAAGAGTCACCTCAACTTCAAAACCATTAACAAAATTGTGACGAAAGATCTAGTTAGAGAATTACCCAACATCACCTACAAAAAGGATCAAATTTGTGATGCATGTCAAAAGGGAAAGCAAATCAAATCATCCTTCAAGACAAAAACACACGAGTCAAGTCAAAGACCTCTTAGTTTGCTACATATGGACCTTTTTGGCCCTGTAGATCCAGTAAGTATGAGTGGTAAGAAATATACTTTTGTTATTGTTGATGACTTTTCCAGGTACAATTGGACAATATTTCTCAACAAAAAGAATGAAGTTGAGAAGAAGCTACCAGAACTACTCAAACAACTCGAAAAAGAAAAGGAAGTCAACATTGTCAAAATTTGTACTGATAGAGGTACTGAGTTCGTAAACGGCGTGATTCAAAATTTTTGCAATTCTCAAGGAACATCAACTATCGGCTGCAAGAACTCCACAACAAAATGGAGTTGCAGAAAGGAGGAATCGTACGCTTAAAGAGGCCGCACAAGTAATGATAGCCACAGCTGAGTTACCTAAACGTTTTTGGGCCGAAGTAATCAATACTGCTTGCTACACTCAAAATAGAAGTCTGATTCACAAACTGCACGACAAGACACCTTATGAATTGTGGAAAGGGAGAAAACCCAACCTTAGTTATTTTCATTCATTTGGTTGCAAATGTTTTGTTCTTAATAATGGCAAAAGCTATCTAAAAACATTTGATGAACATGCATATGAAGCAATATTCTTAGGATACTCTTCCACCAGTAAAGCATTCAGAATATTGAACAAATCAACAATGGTGGTTGAAGAATCCATTCATGTCGTATTTGATGAATCTTCAAAAAGAAAGGATGCTGAAAGTTCAAAAATTGGTAAAAATATTCCTGAACATTTAGACAATACTAACGAAATTTCTGAAGATATTTTGCAGGGATTTAGTGATCTAAACTACTCCGGAATAGAGCAAAATGGCGAAACTTGATGAGAAAATTCCGAGGAAAATGGAGTAGATAATGGAGTAAGGGATGGAGTGGAAGTAAGAGAGTGTGTTGGGGTTGGAGTTGGAAATAATGGTGAGGACCAACAAATGGACTGCACCACAAATTCAAATCCTTCACCTTCACACGAAAATGAACCCACTCACCCCTCCACTTCTCAAAGCAATTTTTTCAACCCGATTTGAAGTGGCTCAAAGATCATCCACAAGATCAAATCATTGGAAATATTCATGACGGCGTGAGAACTAGATCATCGATAAGAGAAACTTTATTTTCTTGTTTCTTGTCACAGATTGAACCTAAGGAAATAGATGAAGCTTTAAATGATCCAAGTTGGATTGAAGCTATGCAAGAAGAGCTAAAATCAGTTCAAACGAAATGATGTCTGGGAGCTTGTTCCAAGACCACTTAATCACAACGTGATTGGAACAAAATGGGTCTTTAGAAATAAAGCAAATGAAGATGGTATCATTGTTAGGAATAAAGCAAGGCTAGTCGCAAAAGGCTATTCACAGGAAGAAGAAATAGATTTTGATGAGACATTTGCCCCAGTTGCAAAACTTGAAGCAATTAGAATCTTTCTAGCCTTCGCAGCCTACAAGAATTTTACGGTCTATCAAATGGACGTAAAAAGTGCATTCCTAAACGGGCTACTTGAAGAAGAAGTATATGTTGAGCAACCACCTGGTTTCGAGGTAAAATGTAATAGTGATAAGGTCTATAAACTAAAGAAGGCATTATATGCAATGTTGCAAAAAAACGTTAGGCGCCCCCTAGGCGGCAACGGGGCGCCTAGCGCCTAGGGCGCCTAAGCGCTGATTTTTTATTTTTTATTTTATTTTTTTAATTAAAAATAAAATTAAAAATTAAAAAATTTCAAAATTTAGTAATAAAACATAAGGTTTCCATAGTTATTTCTTAGAAACTATATACCAAAGTGGTTGTAAAATTGTTCAAAAGATTGTTTAAAACATTTAAATACATAAAAACTAAAATTAAGAGCAAAAGAAGCATTTTTTTGAGAAATTAGTAGACCAAACCGCCTTCGGATAGATCTCGAAAAAATACACGATTTGAAAAAAAATTGTCCAAATCGGATAACCGAGTCAAAAGTTATGCCTTCCGAAACTTTTCCCACATTTTCAACCAAAAAAAAAAAAAAAAAAAAACACCGAACCGGCCGGCGGCGGAGGAGGCCGCCGAGGCCATTCCTCGCGGCGGCCTCCCACCGCCTAGCGCCTAGGCGTGATTTTTGCAACACTGATTATATGAGCTAAAACAAACACCTAGAGCTTGGTATGATACCCTATCGATGTTCTTAATTAGTTGTGGATTTACCAAAGGCCTTGTTGAAAAAACTCTTTTTAGAATTCAAGAAGGCGATCACATTTTATTAGTACAAATCTATGTTGATGATATTATTTTTTGAAGTACTAATAATTCCTTGTGTAAAAAGTTTTCAAAGCTCATGCAGAATAGGTTGAAATGAGCATGATGGGTGAGTTAAATTACTTCTTGGGACTACAAGTCAAACAACTAAAGGAAGGAATATTCATCAATCAAACCAAGTACACTAAAGACTTGATCAAGAAATTTGTCCAAGAAGGAAAAAGCTCAATCAAGATCCCAATGAGCACTTCATTAAGACTAGATAAAGATGACGAAGGCAAAGATGTTGACCAAACGAAGTATCGATGGATGATTAGATCTCTACTATACCTTACTGCGAGTAGACCTGACATATCTTACTTAGTGGTGTATGTGCAAGATTCCAATCGAAGCCCAAAGAAAGTCACCTTCTTGCTGTCAAAAAGATCATTAGATACCTAAAAGGAGCAATCAATGTGGGACTATGGTATCCCAAAGAAGGTAACTTTACTCTGACTGGTTTCTCAGATGCTGATTTTGCAGGATGCAAGATAGATAGAAAAAGCACCTCCGGGACATGCCAGTTATTAGGGGGAAGGCTTGTATCTTGGTTCAACAAAATGCAAAATTCTATAGAAAAAAGTACTGCCGAGGCCGAATACATTGCAACAGGAAGTTGCTGTGCACAAATATTATGGATGAAGCAACAACTGATGGATTATGGAATAAAATGCGCGGACATTAGTATTTTCTATGAAAATACTAGTGCCATTGCGATCACCCAAAATCCAGTGCTTCACTCCAGAACCAAACATATTGACATTCGACATCATTTTATTAGGGATCATGTCGAAAGGAAGGATTTAAAAATTGAGTACATCCCTACAGAAAATCAAATAGCCGACATTCTCACAAAGCCCTTGTGCGAGACAAGATTTGCTACTCTAAGACATGAGATGGGCATGATTGAATTGAGCTAAGTATCTTTAATTTGATTTTATATTCGAAGGTGCTAATTGTTTCATGTGATCTTTGTTGCTTACTAGTTACAATATTTTGCCTACACTTTGTCACAATCCTTAGACTACTTACTTATTTAAAAATAAATAAATAAATAAAATAAATATAAAAATTTGAGCATGCATCTAATAATCTCTATTTTGTGAAATGTCTGTACATGCATGAAGACTTATATAAATCGTAGTTCATGAGCTTAGGTATGAGTTTAGAAATAAACTCGAACTTAGATTTCGAGCTTAGATTTATATAAGACTTGATCTTGAATATTTGTTATTTAGAATGAAATAAGTATGCATATTTAATTGTTTTGATATGTATATGCCTTGATAATTTGTGTAACTAATTTGTGTGATAATAGTAAACAGTTTGAGTACATGAACTGGATTTTAAAAAAATCCTCTTTCTATTAATGTTATTTAATTTATTTAAATGGGTTTTATGATTGAGGATTATACTTGAGTCATGATGTGTTTGCTGTGATTTATTTAAATCTGTTTGCATCTATCCTTTTTTTTTTTGGTATATAAAATGTATTTCTTTGCATAAATATTTTATAAAGTTGCTTATAAAATATCTCTCTCCTAAAATATTTGTTAGATGCCTATACATGCACCTATATGTTTCTATTTATCTCATTTATTGGGCTCATCTTCTTATTAATTAGTTTCTATATTTCTCTCAAAATGCTCCAAACTTAATTTTTTAAAAAAATAAAATAAAAAATTCACAAAGCTTATTTTGGTCGTTTAATGTTATCTTTGGAAAATAAACGTATTTATCAAACCTTGAGAAATAATTTTAGAAAACTCCATTTATGAAAGAAAATTTATTTAATTTATATTTATCCAGAGTCTTCTAGGGTATATGTAATTTTACCTATTTTCTCTAGAGGTGGCTATCAAATCAGACATTCTTTTAGACCTTCACATTAGGTTTGCATGGCATTAAATGCTCGTGTCTCCCTAATGATGAAAAACATCAGAAATGGCGTCAACCCATACAATTCCCACTCACACCCCCATACCTCAAATTTCTACAAGCCAGCCTGTAGGGACAATTTTGAGAATTCATAACCCACTCATACAACGTATAAGAACTCTTCATCTTCAAAACTCTTCACTCATTCTCTCACAGACTTCTAAAGCTCTTTCACTACCCAAAGAAAGCCATCATCCACTCAAACTCCATTGCCAAACCTCCCTAAATCTTCTCTACCCTAATGGCGACAAACCCAGTACCTCAGGGAGATCATCCATCGAATGCAGAAGAAGAAGAAAATTTGGTGATGCCTACTCTAGCTCAACTAGTGAAGCAGACACACACTGGGCAGATCTTACACATCCCTGATTTCCACAATGTAATCGGCAATACAGATAAAGGAAAACAAATTATTAATGCTCTAGAAGACAGTGGCATCTTCAAGTTATGTACATATCCCTTTTCTGGCATTTATAAGGAAGATATAGCATAATTCTATTTGAATTCATATGTGGACGGTCAATCGATTAAGTCTATTGTGAATGAAACCCCAGTTGAAATCACACCTAATGACTTAAGGGACACTTTTGAGCTGCCTGACACTAATCTGGAGATTGATGACCATGTTTTTATCCATCAAGATTTTTGGCCATTAATTCGGGGGAAACCCAACATACCAGACCTCAATTTTCTGGTTATAAGAAGTTCTTGAAGTGCGAGTTTGGAAAGTTCCTTGATATCCTGTACAAGTGTTTAGACTACAAAATCTCTAATTCAGATGAATATAAGCCCCGGGAAATTACCTTGATGAATGGAATATGGCTGGGAATTAAGTTTAATTGGGCGGGGTATGTTCATAGCAGAATTGTAAAATACTGTTGTTATGCTGTACCTCTACAAAATAACCAATTTAAACAGCATGTGAGTTATGGTTTTGTTATTTCTGAGATTCTAAGGAAGAAGGAGATACCTCTTAGAAAGCCCAAAAATGTTGCTAGCTTCAAATACTAGTTTAGGAACCCTGAAACCTTGAGAGAAAAACAACCTACTAAACTTTCCACTAGTAGAAAAACCATGGGAACTAATGCTCCTAAAAAGAAAAGAGGCAGACCATTAGGAAGAACGTCTAGAACTTCTGAGCGTTTAGGATCAAATGATGCATCCTTTATGATTATTAATTTTGCAAATGATGGAGGAGCAACTTCAAACTTAAATATAACTGTTCATGTGCCTGTGACTCAAATTGGAAGAAGTAGCCAACCACATCCACCAACACTGCTAACCAAAACTATTTTTCCTAACGTTAATAATCTTATATCTCCCCTACAAATTGAAGGATTGGACACACATCTTGAGCTAAATATTCTAGATGAAGAAAGGGAATCTTTTGTTGATGAAGATCCAATTCTTGCCACTGAATTGCTAAGGGTGAAAGAATGGAGGAAATTGAGATTTGAAGATTATCAATCTCACATTTCCAAAGTTGGACCTAAGATTGAGAGAGAAAAATTATTTACTCTTGATTGGCTGGGAAAAAGGGATGTTTCTACTGCTCTCCAGATGTCAACCATTGAAAGTGTCTATTCAAACAAAATGCAGGCTATGTTGGCAAGATCCAAATAACAGCTTCCAGTTATGGAGGAAGGATTCCATGCGTTATATGCTGAAGTTTTGGAACAGATAAATCAAGCACATTTGCATGAAGAATTACAACGATCACCTGTGGATTTTCACCATCATCCTAGTGAAACTTCAAATTTTCAAACTGATATAAATGACATGACACAGGGGAAGGCCGTTTGGATGCAAATAAGAGGGAAATTCCAATTTTGAATGAACAACCAGTTGAAGATGTAGCTGAGGAACCAGTCACAGTTCCAGTGCAAGTTCAAGCCACGGTTGTAGTTACGGATCCAGTTGAGGAGACAGTCACGGATGGAGTCACGGTTACGGATAAGGAAACTACAGCTGAAGTTGAGGATCAAGTCACGGTTCCTACTGTGACTAATACTGAAAATGTCGCATTCACTAATAATAGTCTGGGTTCAAGATTAGAAGAAGTGAAGATCACGGCTCATTCACCTCAAAATCATACCGCCATGGAGATTGATTCTGAAAATCTTCCAATCACCTTGGAAGATACTAACAATAATTTGTTTGAAAACCTTGTTGATGCACATGTTGTTGATGAAGAATATCTAAAAGATTTTGAATCTGATGAAGAAGACGCAAGTCTGAAAGCAGCAAAAAGAAGGAAACTTATTATGACCGAGTCATCTGATGCAAGTGATACTGATAATGATGGAGATGAAGAGAGGCCAGTGCAAACTGAAGGAGAAAAAATGCAGTTGAAGAAATCTGGAGGAGATACTGACAAGCATATTCTTGAAGAAATCTACAAACAAATGAGAAGTTTAAGTGATCACCAGAAAAGCTTAAACACGGTGATACAAGAGGATAAGGAGAAGAAAGAAAAGGATTGGGATGAGAAAATTACTGCATTGAACAAGAAAATTGAACTTGAGAGACTCAAGTCCAACAACTTAACAATGGATCAGTGCAAAAGTCTGCTGAAGGTAATTCACCAACAAGAAAATAAAATATCTGATTTACAAAATAAATTATCTGGTTTTAGAAGTGAAAACACTGCCAAAGTTGACAGAATTAATGCTAATGTTGAGATGTTAGTTGATTATGCCAAAAAGGGGGAAGAGAGCAGTCATTTGGCTCTTGGTTCCTCTAGTGTTATGGGCAGCAATAGTGGCAGCTGGAGAGGTAGAGGAAAAGAAAATTCTGGTTTTTCAAAATTTGCAGACCCCAGACCGAGATTTGGAGCCATACAGTACTTTGCCGATGATACGACAGCACCCTACACAATGAAGAATATTCCCGCTGTCATGAAGAAGCTACCGGAAGCAGATCTGTTGGGCGTCGGCCGGGTTGGCCGAGTTCAGCCCCTGCTTGGTTCGAGACGTGGCGTTGTGGCTTAACATAGAGAGATGTGGTTAAATGATTAATGTCCACTTACTTATCACCAATTGGTTTTAAGTAGGATATAGCAACCAGGTACCATAGAACTCTGTGGTTAAGCGTGCTTGACTTCCGGTAATCCCGGGATGGGTGACCCACTGGGAAGTGAGCATAGTGCAGTGCTAAGATCCAACAATTGGTATCAGAGCTGAGGTCACGGGTTCGAATCGATGGCTCGGCAAAAGTCGAGTCCAGTCCCAGATGGGATGTGGGCGTAGGTCAGGCCAAGTCCAATCCCAGGAGGGGGATGATGGGCGCGTAGGCTTAACGAGTCAGGCTTTCCCAGGAGGGGGGTGATGGGAACTTGGTATCAGAGCTGGGGTCACGGGTTCGAATCGATGGCTCGGCAAAAGTCGAGTCCAGTCCCAGATGGGATGTGGGCGTTAGGTCAGGCCAAGTCCAATCCCAGGAGGGGGATGATGGGGCGCGCGCATAGTGTAGCGCTGAGATCCAACAAGATCAAAGGTTGTAAATTCTTGGAAGAAGGAAGAACTTTTGAAGAAAGGAAGAACTTTTGAAGAATGCATCAAGTGGTCACAAAGGAGAATTCTTGGAAGAAGGAAGAACTTTTGAAGAATGCATCAAGTGGCCCTTGGCTACTACAACACAGGTCAAGTGTCTGATGAATATTTTGTTGATGAATATGTGAACGATTTCAGGAAGCTCAGAGATCGTATCAACAACAAGCTCAGATCAAGAAATTAATTTCTTTATGGTAATATGTCTTATTTTCCTACTATCGGATGGTTATGTAATAATTAGCTATACTGCTTAATATGTTCTTTTGCTCAGTTTTTGCTTTATCATCTTATGAAATATTTTTAGACCTAGCTTGTATTAAAACGCATGCCTGAGATATTTTTGCTTGGAATTGATGATGGTTATTATTAGTCTCAAACATGCGGTTAGGAATCTTGTCTAAAAGCAATTGTTCTAGGTCATATATTTTGTTAAACTCGTTCATGGCTAGTCAAAATAAAATTAAATTCCAAAGATTCAAAATAATTTTCAAGACTAAGCCAAATGACTGAGTATAGGTTTTGGCATCATCAAAAATGGGGAAATTGTTAGGAATAAATTGTAATTAGATTTTGATGAGCCAAATTGTATTTTTAAAAATTTTAGACCCCCTTTTCTGTTTGAATTTTGTGTAATTTTATTTTGAGGAAGAACAAGAAATATTAAGTCTACAAAATTCATGAAGAAGAAAATCAAGGAAGAAGAAGAAGAGCTACAGATGGATTATTATTTATCAGCCATAATTCAATTGGTCAGGCACATTATCTATTTTGAAGAAGAGGAGTTACGGTTTGAATTAATTCAAGGAAATCAACCTTCACGGAAATCAGCCACGTGATTATTTAAGGAATCAGCTAAGAAATTGGAATGCCTTACATAATTAAATTGAGCTACGGTCTCAATTTAATTAAAGAAGAGCCACGGTCTTATTATGAGCTACGGTCCCAAATTAATTCATGGAGATGAGCTACGATCTTTATTTGTTAAAGAATGAGCCACGCTCTAACGACCCGTTTGGTTCACGGAATAAGCTGGGAATGGCATAGCATTCCCAGTAACAGGCCTATTCCTTTGTTTGGTAACCATGTCTATTACCAGGCTTAGTATTCCTAGTAATAGCCTATTACCTCAAATAAGGTAATAGCTATTACCAGGGCCCCCCTGGTATTAACTTATTCCTGAGCTCTTAGGAATAGAATTTTTTTTTTTCAATTTTAACCTTTATCGTTCTTTGCGTTCTCTCCCCCATCTACGATTCCTTCCCCGATTCTTTTCATCATCAGCATCACTCAAACAATTTCATCCGTCATTCTGCATCAATCAAACAATTTCATCCGCCATTATGCATCAATCAAACAATTTCATCCGCCATTCTGCATCGATCTGCAATTCTTTCTATCATCTACATCAACATCAAATTAAAGCTTCAAACAAAGGTAAGTTTCAGAATTTTAATTTTTACAAATTAATTATTATTAATATTTAATTATACATATATATACTGCATATATATATATATATATATATATATACAGTATCGCGCCGCAGCAGTATATATACTGCTGCGGCGCGGAGGGTTCCGCAGCCGCACCAGTATTGTTTTTTTTTTTAATTTATTGTTTATTGTTTTTATATTTTATTTTATTTTTGCTACAAAAGTGTTATTGTTTATTTTGTTTTTTTTTTATCACAGTAGTGTTATTGTTTTTTTTTTTTTTTTTTTTTTTTTTTTTTTTTTTTTACAGTAGTGTTATTGTAATCTGTATAAGTTATTCTAAGTTTTAAATTAAACTTGCAGTTATGGCTCGATTGCGCTTAATAACTCGTACTGAAAGAAGGAAAAGATGTGTAGTTGTGTTGCGTGTATGGTTGGATATGTGTGCTTCTGTGAGTTTATTGTTTATAATGATGATGTCAACCTTGACAATTTTGTGTTCTAATAAAAAACGAGTGAAATCTTATATAATTAACACTTTAGGGTCTCGAGAATATATGTTACGAGCTGTGTATTTTGTAATTTCATTGGATTGTTTTGAGTATTTTGTTAAAAATAACATATGTTATGCTTCTTTTGAATATTGTTAAATGTTCTTTAAAAAATTTTGTTATTTACATGACTATTTTGTTTCATAATTTACATATCATTGCTTCTTCTTCTTAATAATAATAATAATAATAATAATAATAATAATAATAATAACAATAATAACAATAATAACAATAATAACAATAACAATAACAACAATAACAATAACAATAATAACAATAACAATAACAATAACAATAATAATAATAATAATAATAATAATAATAATAATAATAATAATAATAATAATAATAATAATAATAATAACCCTTAGGGTTGGGGTTCAGCCTTTTGGAAGAAGAAGAAGAAGAAGAAGAAGAAGAAGAAGAAGAAGAATAATAATAACGATAATAACGATAATAACGATAACAACGATAACAACGATAACAACGATAACAACGATAATAACGATAACAACGATAACAATAACAATAACAATAACAATAACAATAATAATAACAATAACATAACAATAACAATAATATAACAATAACAATAACAATAACAATAATAATAACAATAACAATAATAATAATAATAATAATAATAATAATAATAATAATAATAATAATAATAATAATAATAATAATAATAATAATAATATTTTTGTACAAGGGCATTTATGTCTTTTAAACATATATTC